AGAGGGAAAAGGAAATAATGCTGCACTGCCCCAAAGCAGAGGGGGCCGGAATTTTATAACAAAGAGGAGGCTGGGGGCACAAGTACCAGATGGCTCTTCCTCTCCTTCCCCCAGGTATCTTCCAAAACAGCCCTGAGCTGGAAGGCAGGGAGCCCCACCCCTCAACAGGACCTGCACTCCCCTCCCTTCTCCCTGCTCATCTCGCCCAGCTGCCAGGAGACAGGATGAAAAGAGAACCGCTCCCCCCCAAGCTGTTCCTCTGTGGCTGCGGGCTTCGGGCATCCTCCTTGAGCGCCTGCCCTTCCAGCCCCGACTCCTTCCTTCTTTGGTTCCACTGGGAAACTGATTGTGCTTGACAGACTCATCCCACCCCGCCCCACCCCCAAACTCAGATTCCCACTGGTGGGCTGAAGGCACTGGCACGAGTCGTGGAGAGATCCCCAGGACAACCACCGACCCTGGGCTCTGGAGGAGCGGGTGGGGAGCGCCATTTCTGGGCACATTCCCTCCATCCTCAGCTCAGGGCCCGGAGTCAGCACTGGCGAGGAAGTGTGTTTGGCAAGGAGCCTTTCAGGACTCTCCCAGCTGTGCAGACATCCCTGAACCCACTCCTTGTCCCCATCCCAACACCCAGACAGGCCTGGTACTTCCGGCCAATTCTTCTCCTTTGGCTGCCAGTCAGGACCCCAGTCACCTGACCTCAAGATGAGGGTCACATAAACCATTTTGGGGCGCCCCACTCACGCCCCAGGCCTGAGAGGTGGGCAGAGGTGGTGGCCTTGAGACGTCAGAGATGTGGTACAGGGCGGAGAGCAGGGCTGGAGAGAAACGGGTACACACATCCCATCTAGGGGAAGGTGTCCAAAGCACGAGCTAAGTGAGGGGAAGGAGAGCCAGGGAGCGGCCTCCAGGGAAAATGAGAGAGGGCCGGGGCGAGCCGGGAGGCCGGGGCGGGTTTCACACCACCCTCACCCTATTGTCTCCGCACCCAGAAACTCTCAAAATGGCGGGGGGGGGCGTTGCCGTTGTTGGCCCCTCGTTTGTACTTCCACTTCCGGGTGACCTGGCGCCACCGCCGGTAGGTGTCCTTCCTGCTACAAACAGGTGGGAGACAAAGGAGGCCAAGGCCTCTTGTCACTGACGTGCTCTGTGACCACCATCTCCTCCGGGGTGACGTGTGTCTGCGGGAGGTAGGTGCTCCTCTGCACTTTCTCACCAGGAACTCCCAGAAATTGCAAGGGGGCAGCAGGTTGATAGTGTTGAACAATGAAGTGGCTCCTGTCCAGGGAGAAGTCGTGATAGACAGTAAGCCCCTGCTGGAATCGTGGAGGATGTCCCCAAACCAGGGCACGGGCACGTTGATGCCATCGCGGTTCCTCTCCTCCAGTTAGATCTTCCGTCCTCTTCCAGCTCCATGCGAGTGTGGACCCGGGAGGACAGGGAGGCCTCCTAGAGGACCCCGCAGTGGAAGAAGTTGTCTCGGGCCAGGTGAACGAGAAAGAAGGATCTGTAGATGTGGACGGAGGCGAACACCAGGCCCGTGAGCAGCAGGTCCATGCCCATGGACAGAGCCCCTGCGTCTTGTAGGGATGGTGAGAGGGCCCTCCTCCCAAGGGCTTCTCCCCAGCCAGGGTCAGCAGGATCTCAGCGCCCAGGGTGGGCACCAGGGTGGAGACCGAGGCCGAAGCCTTGTCAGTCTTGCCGGCCTTGATGAGGGCCACCATAGGTTGGAAGCGGATCTTCACCACGGTTGCGTGGGCCATGCGTCCGCCCTGCACCCTCTGTTGGCAGCCGCTCTCCCTCTCAGCCCCTATCTGTACCACAGAGCTCTGGCTCTCCGCAGGCAGGGGAAGTTTGGGTCCCCTTCTACATCTTTTGTTCTTGATTTATCCTCAAGGATTTCCTACTTTTTGATGCTATTGTAAATAGTAGTTTTTTTTTATTTCAAGTTCCAATTGAATGTTGCTGGTATATGGAAATACTGATCTTACCTTGTAGCTTGCTGTCAAACAAACCTTTCTTATTCTACTAGCTTTTTGTAAGTCCATTGGATATTTCTGCCTAGATGAGCCAGTCATCTGTGCATAAAGACTGACTTCATTTCCAATCTGGGTTATTTTTATTTCTTCTTAAACTGAACTGAGATGTAGTGGTCCTGGAAGTACAGGGACCTGAGCTTTAATGTCAACTCTGCCATAACTCTCTGTGTAACCTTAGGCAAGTCACTTTCCTCTCTGAACCCAGCTACCCTGTAAAGTGATCTGTAAGTCCTCTCCCACCTCTAATGTTCAAAGAATGTACTCTGAAAGGTATTAGCACTCTGGTTGTAAGCCACAGCTTCCTGCCTCCAGGCCTCTGAGTCCTGCCTTCTTCCCGTTAAGCAACTGACTCACCATGCTCCTGACAGTGGGGCTGAACCAGTGTCACCTGTTCTCCTCCCAATCTTCCAGTGAATCAGGAGTGACTCTATTAGTTCATTTTACCAGTTGTTGTTCTGCTGCCTCCTGTTAGCAAGGCCCAGTCTGCAGGTGGGTTATCTATTTTCTAGCAAAAACCAAAGCTGTTAATTCATGAAAAAATTGGCTGAGGGCCACAAACATAGAAAAAGCAGTTTCTTTTTTTTATTAAACTTTTAAAGACACATTCATTCCATTCGCCTGCTTTTGAATTTAGTCCTCATCAATAATGTAATTTTATACTGTGCTGAGATAAGGTAGGCTTTTTTAACACAGCCCTGTCCTGCAGGAACTTAAGAGTCCTGCAGGGGAATGGTCCATTCATTCTCCATCTGTATGGAAGAGAAATGGACAGACAAAGTTACACTGGACCATGTTGGAGAAGACCTGAGTCCTTGAAAATAAGTTGGGGCAATCCCAGGGCATGGTAGAAATGAAAGGTTCAGCAGACTTTTTTTATTCTTTGAGTTACCCTGCAGCTGAATCTCATTCCTAGCTTTAGGAGATGCTCTGCCTTCTGAGCCCACCCCTCCATCAGAGAGAAGCCTTGCCCAGTTTCACTGACATCACCTAGGTATTTCTAATTGATATGCTTACTTCAAATTCTGAATCCAAAGCTGGTGACACAGGAACCATACAAACCCCTTCCAGTCATGAAGGCAGCAGCAGCTAAATCTGATCTTCTGAGACAGATTTAGCACATCCAGATTCTAGAATTCAGAATCATCTGTCCCAAGTCTTTTATTTTATTTTACAGTGTGGAATAAATGAAGACCAACCAAAAGAGAACAAGCAAAGCTATTTATTCAGAGCTTGTTATAGAAAGAGAATCAGCCACCATGACATGTTTCGGCAGAGACTCTTAAGAGTTGGACACAACTGAGCAACTGAACGACAAAAGCCTGCAGAAGTGGGAAATCGTTACAGGAGAAAACAAGGAACTTGTCAGGCATGCCTTGACTGGACGTTGTTGACATGAGGGGCCATCCGTAGGCTAACTAGAAGCAGAACATCCTATGTGATTGGTTGCTGCTGCTGCTGCTGCTGCTAAGTCACTCCAGTCGCGTCCAACTCTATGCAACCCCATAGACGGCAGCCCACCAGGCTCCCCCGTCCCTGGGATTCCCCATGTGATTGATTAAGGGTACATTATTTGGCTTTTTCCGGCTCGTGCTAGGTTAGAAACAGGGACAAAAATTGAGGAAGTTGCCAGTTTTTAATCAAGTCCTGGCCATCTGGATCCAGTGGCTACAAGAGTTATCATTTGCCTTCATGGGCTGGTTGCTAGAGATTGTGGTCTGATTTCATACAAGTCTAACTTACAGATAGCAGACCAGCTCCGTAGGCTGCTTACTGCAGATAATGGGTTGGTTTTCTGGGCTGGGTGCTGCAGACTGTGGATCAGAGTTCTACTTTTATACATAGTTTAGCCATTGTCCATCTTTATATGCACTCTCTCAGCAGAAACTGAGGCCCAGAGAAGTAGAGTGGTCTAAGATTCTTAATCCAAGGTCTAAGAGCTTAAAGTAATCAGAGCTGACAGGTCAATCCTATCATTTCCAAAGGAACTTATTCTACTTATTGAGGAGACAAGGTTCAGATGCATAGGAAAATGAAGTTCAGTAAAGATGTCATAGAGGTAAGTGACACCAGGAAGTTAATAGCTTGGGAGGAAGGCTCATCACTCTCCTCTCCAGGTAGAACCACTGCTACAGCCAGAGCCTCTACGTACTGGACATTCCAGTCAGCTAGCAAAGCAAAGTGGTTAAATGCATGGTTCTCTAGGCTGCCATCTCTCTTCATATTTAACCTTCAGAAATATTTGCTGTGAACTTGAACAACTTGAACAAGATATTTTACCTTTCTGGTCTTTAGTTTCCTCATCCATAAAATGAGAATAACAGTAGCACCTATCTCATCATGCTCTTGTGTGAATTAAATGAATGGGCGCTTGTAACACACTTAGAACAATACCTGATACTTAAGATGTGCTTGTATAAGTTAGATATGATGATCTTGTTTAGTCTTCACATCAACCCAGCATTAAGTAGTATAATCCTACTTTTCAGATAAGGAAACTAAGGATAATACTAAGGATAGCTATGTCACTTGTCCGAGATAGTGAGTTTCTGAGTCAGGATTTTCACTCGTATCTTTATGAGGCCCAAACTTATTATTCTTCACTACTGAGCTTCTGAACACAAGATGCCACTGTTGGGAAAGAAGTGGCATATAGAGTGGGAAGCCATATAGGGCTGTGGTATCAGGGTGTCTGTATTCAACGTTTTGTTCTGCCCTTACACAAATTACTTATCACCTTTGCACATGTTTTCACTTGCAAACTGGTAATAATAACCTATCTCACAGGTTTAAGGATTAAATAAGACAGCATTTTAAGTATTAAATAAGATAATGTATGTGAAGTTTCCAGTACAGTTACTGGCACATAAGTACTTAGTAAATGACAGCAATGATTTTAACTGTCTAATTTTAATTTAATGAATTGAAAGTGACAATTGCAAACTATTCTTTAGAGTCTGTCCCTTAAAGGCCCGCCTTCATGTCCCCAAACTGACTTGACTCTCCACTGCTGTATTCCCCATTGTTGGTCCTGTGATAGGTCAAGCGGTCACCAGAAAAATAGCTTAGAGGAGGGAATGGGTCCTGCAGGGGAGAGGAGTAGACAGGTAAGGAGTGGTCACACAGTAACATGGAATTCCAAAAGACCAAGGCTTCCCATGGCCCTGACTTTCAGAAGAGTCAGAGATGCTTCTTAGGAAACAAATGGAGGAATTTCATCCTCAGCTCTGTAGGTCAACCTGAGACATGCCCATCTGAAAGACACACTTGGCAGATAAAACTAGCCTTCTCTTTGCCATCAAGTATCTCTTAGAGGTAGTAATGTTAGTCATTCAGTTGTGTCCAGCTGTTTGGAGCCCACCAGGCTAGTCCATCCATGGGATTCTCCAGGCAAGAATACTGGAGTGGTTTGCAATTTCCTTCTCTGGGGATCTTCCTGACCCAGGAATTGAACCTGGGTCTCCAACACTGCAGGCAGACTCTTTACCATCTGAGTCACCAGGGAAGCCCTCTCTTGGAGGTATTGGTTCTCATTTTACACTGAGTTCAGTGAAGTCTCCTTCTCAACTATTCCGTGAGAGCCAAAGCTGAGTTGTTGGTCAGACTGGTCAGGGAAACCAGAGGAGGGGCAACAAGAAATTCTGATAGGAGAAGGGTGATCATAATGAGGATATAAAAACAGAAAATGCCCTGTTTTAAAGGAATGTAAAGAACCATTTCTTCCATCACCCTGAAACGTTGATGTTATCAACTTGTTTTCCAGAAGAAGAAATTAAATTCCAAGAAGGTTAAGTTTTACAGCCCAAACCACTCAGGTAATGAGAGGTGAATCATGATTTGAATCCAATAAAAAAAGATGTAGAAAAAACAAACCTAAATATTTCAGACTTGTTATCTGTGGGTGATAAGATTATGAGTGATTTTAATTTTCTTTTCTGTGCTTCTTTGTATTTTCCAAATTTCCTCCACCAGATAGTTGTCACTTAATAATGAGAAAAAATAAAGTTCTTTAAGTCTCATCAGGGCCTGGGATAGGGCTGGGAGCAGAGGCAGCAAAGAAGCTCACTACAGGAGCACTAGTCTGCTGTTTCTGAAACTGAGCCAGGTAAACTGCTGGGCTGAGACGCGGCTCAGAATGAGTTAGAGAGGGAGGAGGCAAGTGGGCCCGGCCAGAGTTTTGGCTCCTTCGAGCCCAGGGAAGCTCAGCATGAAAGGGGCCTGGACCGAGAACACCAACTTAGTAGTTGGTTCCAAACACAAAGACTTGATCCAGGAACAACCCAAGTGGGGCTGGCCAGAATCCAAAATGGACGGGCCTTCAAAGAGCGCGCACACACCTCCCTGGGCAGGCCACTTTGCACCTATGTGTTCTTAACCCTTACAATAGAACCTCCTGCCCATTGTAATTTGTGTAACTAAAACCTCTGACACAAAAGTATGAGAGCCTGAAATGAGAGCGAAAGCAGGAGTGCAGAGAAGAGTGCTCAGTGCCAGGGAGGAAGAGACAGGGCGGGCTGACGCCCCATCCCCTCACAGCCCCTCGTGTGGAGAAATCAGAGCTGCCGGTGAGTTAGGAGGCAAAACTGGGCGTGCATTCGGCAGCGGAGAGAAGGCCTGGGTTCCCACAGGCAATTTCCTGCCCCAAAGGAGCAAGAGGTCTCTGGGTCATATGAGACTCAAGCTCATCCCTTTAGAAACCCATCCCACCAAGCTCAATCCCAGTGGAAACCATTGTTTCCACTCCTGAAGCATTCTCAAACTCCAAGCAGATTTTATACAAAGAAAACTTTATTCATAAAAATATATCCTGGCCACACAGGATTCCATAGCTAAGTCTGGGGTCTAGGAGTTGAGTGGGGGTGATCGGTAATTGTAACACAAGCCTGTAACTTCACATCAAAATTCCTTCTTCCACAACCCACACGCCATTGGTTCAGTTTTAAATATCTCACAGAACACTGGTGGTCAGTAAATATGTCCTTAATTTAATGAAATTCTAGCCACTCCTCTAGAATTGACAGTTTGTTCACTCTATGAAAAACCTGCTCTAGTCAGCTTATAAATATAATCTGTAATCGTTTTTAAAAAGTCTCATTTTCAAATATAAAAATAAATAAGTTAAATAGAAAAAATAAATAAATGCATTCACTAATAAATACAACCAACAGTAGAAAAGATGTTACTAAAATCTTATAAAACCATGATCCAGATTAAGAGTTCAGTTCTGTTTAGTCACTCCGACTAAACAGTCCTGTCCAACTCTCTGCGAGCCCATGGACTGCAGCACGCCAGGCTTCCCTGTCCATCACCAACTCCTGGAGCTTGCTCAAACTCATGTCCATCAAGTCAGTGATGCCATCCAACCATCTCATTCTCTGCTGTCCCCTTCTCCTTCCTGCCTTCAATCTTTTCCAGCATCAGGGTCTTTTCCAATGAGTCACTTCTTCCCATCAGGTGGCCAAAGTACTGGAGTTTCAGCTTCAGCATCAGTCCTTCCAATGAATACTCAGGACTGATTTCCTTTAGGATGGACTGGTTGGATCTCCTTGCAGTCCAAGGGACTCTCAAGAATCTTCTCCAACACACAGTTTAAAAGCATCAATTCTTCGGCGCTCAGCTTTCTTTATAGTCCAACTCTCACATCCAGCCATGACTACTGCAAAAGCCATAGCTTTGACTATGTAGACCTTTGTTGGCAAAGTAATGTCTCTGCTTTTTAATAAGCTGTCTAGGTTGGTCATAGCTCTTCTTCCAAGGTGCAAACATCTTTTAATTTCAAGGCTGCAGTCACCATCTGCAGTGATTTTGGAGCCCCCAAAAATAAAGTCTCTTGCTGTTTCCATTGTCTCCCCATCTATTTGCCATGAAGTAATGGGACTGGATGGCATGATCTTTGTTTTCTGAATGTTGAGCTTTAAGCCAACTTTTTCACTCTCCTCTTTCACTTTCATCAAGAGGCCCTTTAGTTCTTCTTCACTTTCTGCCATAAGGGTGGTGTCATCTGCATATCTGAGGTTATTGATAT